CAGCCCCAAACTCAACGTACTTGTGGCAAATGAGACAAACCTCTAATATCAGTCTAAATTGTAGATTCGACAGAGTTCATTGAAAACTTGAAACAAATCTAGGGAAAAAACCCAAAACACTGAAAAAATTGGGAAAAAAAAGATGAGTAGCTGAAAGCGATAAAGCTAGGTTCCCTAGAAATGTTGCTTTCACCACAGGCAAATCCCAGAATCGTTTTCAAAGGAGCTTTTGGATACGTAAGGTCCTGAACTGTCATTTCCAGCCTTGGTCATCTGGAATGTGTGTGAGTGGAAAGTGGTTACGTGGTTTTGTAGACTGCAAGAAGGTGGGAGCACTGGAATTCTTGGAGTTAGAGATTTATCTTAGGTCTTCTCCTGGTCTCTGAGAAGAAAACCAGACTTCATAGAGTGATTACAACCGAAACAGAAGAACTCAGTCAGTTTTCAGAAGCATGTGTGACTGTGCTATTTCAGGAATTGTTCCAATATGAGATGTTTATAATAAGCTTAGTGTGACCCAGCCACAGAGCTTAATATAACAAGGTTAAGTGAATGGTGGGAGGAGAGGGTTCCGGTAGATACCAGCTTGCATTTATTAGTAACAATCAAAAAAGGTTTGCAGATGACAAACTCCCTGAGCATTTACTAAATCTGGGACTTGTGGTTTGCAAATCATTTTGATTAACAGCTGCTATCATCTATCCTAGGTAGGGCAGGAAAAATAAAGTGTTTTTATTTTATTGCATTAAATGTCAGTCACAGACTAAGAACAGTGTAATCTGGAATATACAAAATTTACTGGTTAAGTAGAAAACCATGCTCTGCCCTCTCACTGGGCTTGCTAAAGAAGAGTTTCCTGGGAACACCTCAGGGAACAGCTGTTTCTTCCTATGTTAAATGGAGAGTTTACCGGCATCTCATTGTTTCTGGAGGGCTCTTTGGCCAAAGGAATCCCTTGTTTATCTACATATAAACATATATATGTATATATAGAAATTTTTTACATGTTTTAATTAAGGGTTTTGCCTTAATGAAACCACCAAGGAGGACTCACTTAGATGAAAGATTTGCCTGGATTTCATAATTAAGTATTGAATGATTATTAAAGTAAGCCTACCCAGTGTGAAGTTCCAAACTTCAAATTTGGAAGTTTAAGAAATAACTATTGGTAAAGGGAGAAAAAATTTAAGTGGTTGGTAAAGGAAAGATAATTACATTGTCAACATAATCTTTTTTGACTCAGAGTTTGATTCAGAAGGCTTTCTAAAGAGCTCTTTGAATCACCCTGAAATCCGCTAACTTTCAAGGATGCTACTTTTGTACCTCTGTATAAATCTTACATCTTTCTTTGCAAAGAAATTCAACTGTTTCTTAGTGATTGAAGAATATGGATATTGAAAAACACTAATTGTGCCCTTATGTTTGTCTGTAAATTCCTAAAAAATATGAAATATTGTCTATATTGTGCATACTTTGTGAATTTGCTCTAGTCTATTGAAGACTCCTTTAGGAAGTTAGAACAGATGTAGAAGATTTCTGTAAGTCTCAAGGAGTGCAGATGTCTTAGAGGTTAACGTTGAACTCTGCAGTTACATCACTGGTGAAAATTAGATATATAATGAATAACCTAACTTTAGGTAAGGAAAACATCACACTTGCCTTACAGATGCAGCCATGCATCAGAGGCTTTTAATTAGTGCTTTATAGTTTTAGGTCAGGGAGATGGTTAAAAGTTGTTGATTCAAGAGCTTTCACTATATACAAGGTCAATTCAGGCAATGATGATAACAGGTCTCAGATTCGAGAAACAAGAAAAAAGAAACATAGTTCAATCAATGGGAGAAATAAAGAAATAATATTAGTGAAATAATTGATTTGGATAATCTTTAGCATTATTTTACATTACATTTGGCTAATGTGACTCCAAATGGAAATTCCAAAGCAGATTTATGGTTCCACTTTTTAATTTTCTGTTTCTAACCATGGAATTAGCAAACAATAAGAAACCCCCCAATTTTTCCCTGTCCTCACTCCCAAACTAGGATAACCGCCTTTGATATGCTCTCATGGCCCCTGGCACTTTTCTTTCCTAGTGTGTAGTTATTTATTTATCTGTAGGCTTTGGGATTGCTAGATTTAGCTAATAAAAATACTAGATGCCCAGTGAAATTTGAATTTCAAATAAACAACAGATAATTTTTCAGCATGTTTTTCCAGTGAAACATTTGTGACACACTTTACTAAAAAATTAGGCATTGTTTATCTGAAATTCTAATTTTATTGGGCATCCTGGATTTAAGCTGGCAATCCTAGTAGCTTACTTGTTCATATCTGTATTTCCCATGGAGAGATACAAGTTCTAGGAAAGCAGATACCCTGTTTTGCTCATCATAGGACACCACCACTGTCTACACAGGGTACTTAATAAATACTGGTTGAATGTCTAAAGTGATGAATGATGTGTGCGAATGAGGTTCAAAGAACTTAAGAATAAAAGAAGTAGTTCTTGCCGTTGGTGTTTCTATAAGCGTACACCATTTTTACACAGTAAATCTTCAGTCGACTAAAACAGATAAATAAGGAGGAAATTCCTTTGAAAAGAGAGACTCCAAGCAACGAATTCTGTCAGTACATTTAACTTTCAGTTTTTGATTTTCAATTAGTACTTTTTCAAAGACAGTTATTGCACAAAGCAAGTTAGACTTGTATTTTTAAGTGTTATGGCAGATTGCAGTTAATCTTTTCTACCAGGATCTAAAGCTAAAAAAGAGGTTTGGACAGGACATACGTGAGATGTTTCCAGGCCATATATGGAGAAGGTGGCACAAATTTTGAAATCTTTATCATCACATCTTACTTATTGAACTCCCACAAATGTTCTGCTCTGTATTAGAAAAACCAAAACAAGTTCATCTTGTGAAGTTTCATTAGCTCAGGAAGAGCCAAGGTCTTAAGTGTACTCTCTATAATGTTTAGTTTGTAAACCGGGGAGCGGGGCTCACTTAGGTAAGTCATGGAAGTTTAGAAAACGGATGGTAGAAGGAGAAAAATGCCTTGGAAAAGCAAATAGAAATGTGCGTCCTATATGCTGGAACGTTCATCTGGATCAGTCAGAAATGCCCACAAAGCGAGGCCTTTCACTGTGGCTTGAATAGCATCCCATGTCAATGTTCAACAAAGAGGGAAGACAAGATCCAGAGCTCTGAGGTTCTAGTTCCAGGGCATCTCTTAGCCCCATCCTCAACCTGAGCCTCAGTTCTCCAGCTCTAGAAGGGAAAACGAGTCGCATCACATTGAGAATACCCACAGATACTTAACCAGTCTTTTATAAGGCTCTATACTTGACATGGGGACGTCAGATGGCTCCTGCTATGTCACCACTACAGTCAGCCATAAATTTGGAGTGGGTTGTGTTCACAGGCTAATTCTCTTCTGTCGTAACCTCTCCTTCACTTCCAACCTCCCAGTGGAGCAATGAGCAGCTCTCGTTGGGCCAGCTGGAATTCTCTAGAACAGGTGGTAGCTGCGAGTATTGGAGAGCCAACACTCGCTACAGCTGGGGGACAAGCCCACAAGCCTGGTAATTGTATGTGTTTTATATAACTGTGGATTATCAGTGGTGCCAACAACAATGTACTGAGTATCTAGAAAAGAATCCATCATGGCTTTTGAATACTACAAGATTTAAATGTATTTTTGAGGAGACAACATGCATACACATTTAAAACAATCCAAAAATAGAAGGCAAAATTTAATTAAATGACAAAATATACGGTACGAGTATACATCCTAGGAGAGAACAAAAAGAGTTGAATCTATTGAGTATACACTGATTCCAGAATTTCAGTAGAGGAATGTGCTTTACGCTTGGCCTTGGAAGATAAGCCTTGACTAGACAAAAAGGAAGGTATCGTTGAATGGCAACGTAAAGGTTTGAAGGTGATCATTACCTTAACTGGTCAAGAATTCTGTTGGTGGAAACTTCATTGGTTGGAGTTGGTGGCCATCATCTTGAGGTAAAATGAAGCCAGATTGAGAGGATTTTGAGTATCTTCTTCTCAGTCTTTCTAAATACCCCTTCCAATTATAGCTCTTTTGAAATTTATATGCCTTTTGTTCATTTTCTGTTAGGGGACTTTTAAAAAAGATCTATGAATGGAAATTTTTGTTGAGGCCCTGAAAATTTCAACTTTCAAACTCTTTGTAACTATTCAACTATTTGTTTTTAACTATTCAATTTATTGTAACTCTTTTTGCCTAGATTAATTTAAATTTTTGCCAGGGTAGGCAAAATTTTTGGATTTATTTCAAAAATCCTTAATTACTGTCTTATAAGAAGCGAGATGCTTTTTTTTAAGGTCATATATGCTGCCATTAAATAAAATTATACTGGAGGCAGGTACTCTTTGGCTTAAATCTTAGAGATGTGACCTTTAGCAAGTTACTATTCCTCTATAAGCCTCAGTTTTATTATCTGTAAAAAGGGGATATTTCTTCATATCTGACAGAGTTTGTGTGAAGCTTAGACACAATACATGTAAAATGCTTAATAAAGGCACATTTAGTAAGTTCTCAACAGATGAGAACCAGACCATGTACTCAACTGGGAGCTGTTAGCATCATCATCACCATCATCATCATATTTGACATATAAATGAAAAGCAGTAAGGTTAAGAGTCCAGCCTCTGGTGCAGGACTGCCTGGGTTCAGATCTGGGCTCTGGCACTTATCTGGGGTGACTTTGGGTTTGTCACTTTTTCTCTCCTTGCCTGAAAATGGAAATAATAGTAACATTTACCCCATAGAGTTGTTTTGAGAATGAAGTGGGTTGATATATATAAAGAACTTAGTACCATGCCTGGCACATGGTAAGTACTTTATATATGTTGGTTAATATTTTTTAGAAATTCGAGTGCCAATGTTAAACACATGGAAAGTTGTTTAATGATATCTTATCTTGATCCCTCCAAAGTTGGTTTAGGAATAAATAGCCTATTGCTAAATTATTGTTAGGACAATGCTGACTTTAAAAAGTGTGTCTAATTTTGTTTCTGCTTCAGCCCCTTCATCTGTATAGTGGGAAGAAGGTCAACCATGGCCTCTGCCAGGAAGATAACTGAGAAGCGGCATAACCCAGTGGAGAGCATTCGTAGAAAAATCAGAGCCATCCAAAAGAGAGAAGAGGTTTCCAATCCCATTCGACAGATTATCAAATACCAATCGAGCAGTTTTGATAGTCTGCAGCCTAACACCAGGAAAGATTTTGAAGAGGTGCTGAAGAGAATGGCTGCTGCTCACGTCCCCAGACCCAACGCTCGCTGCTCAAGTTCTGAGAAACATGATGCTTTTATTTCATCTCCTCAAGTATTGTCTCCAAGGACGCCGTCCATCTCTCGTTTCAGCTCTCCTGAGAATGCAACATACTCTGTTATCCTCCCAAGTTCTGAAAACATGTCAAGGCCAAGATCCCCGAGATCCCAGGATTATATGTCTTTGATATCACAGATCAGAAAAGGGGGGCTCTTCTCTAACAAGGATTTGAATAACTATTGCAATGAAAACGATTTTAGTACCTTGACACTTGACTTTGATTTTACCTCTGATCGAAGCTCTGAATTTTTTACTCCTCAGGATTCAGTGGTGAAAAAATTATCTCTGAATGAAGATGGTAAATATTCATCTTTTAATGTTTGTTCTTCCAATAAAGCAATAAGCATATCACTTTCAGAATACCTGAACTAAAAAAAACCCAACCCACATTATTAAAACTTGGATGGAACCATCCATCTTCCGCTTTTTAAGTATGTTTGTTTCTTTTTTTTGTCTCTCTTAAAAGAAAATCTTATATGTGAAATATAAGTATTTTCTATGCTTTTAGTTAAAAACCTGACGGAAATTCTGGATTGTACTTACAACCATAATCATTGGTATTTCTTTATTGACCTGAATACAAACTTTCTCCAGGCCAAATCAGAATGTCATGATGGGAATACATTGATACAGAGGAGGTAAATTCATATAGTTCCCGGGTGCCTTGCTGAAAACTATCATTTTGGTATTTTCTTGTGTGAGAGTAAAACATGTAAGAAAGTTTGGTTTCCATTGGGAAGCCATTAAGGTAGCCCAGGGGAAAATGTAAATTTTGAAGACCCATTTCAATTGAAATTTCGAGAACTCTGTTTAGCGGATTCCCTATAGAGTCCCATACATGCTAGGCACTGAAAAACAATGTACAATGACGCATTTTCTGTATAGCTAGTTTTTGCTTGCTCTCTACTTTTCTTTAAAATATTTCTATTTGTGTTACACTGGTTGCTTTTTCACCGAGTGCTTTCAATATTACAGGGCAAAAACGCCCATTTCCCTCTCTTTCATTTCTCTCTTTTCTTCTAATTTTATAAAACTTATAAATTAAAAATAAAAATGAATAATAAGAGACCTTTCTTTTTTTATTGCAGTAACAGTGGTTTATAACATTATATAAATGTGAGGTGTACATGATTATGTATTTCAGTTTCTGTGTAGATTACATCACGTTCACCACCCAAAGACTAATTACAATCCATGACCACACACATGTGCCTAATCACCCCTTTCACCCTCCTCCCTCCCCTCTTCCCCTCTGGTAACCACTAATCCACTCTCTGTTTCTATGTGTTTGTTTGTTGTTGTTTTTATCTTCTACTTATAAGTGAGATCATACGGTATTTGACTTTCTCCTTCTGACTTATTTCACTTAGCATAATACCTTCAAGGTCCATCCATGTTGTCACAAATGGCCAGATTTCATCATTTCTTATTGTGTATATATACCATATCTTTATCCATTCACCCCTTCATTGGCACCTAGGTTGCTTCGAAGTCTTGGCTATTGTGAATAATGTTGCAATGGACATAGAGGTGCATGTATCTTTATGCATTCGTGTTTTCACATTCTTTGGAAAAATACCCAGCAGTGGCATAGTTGGATCATATGGTAGATGAATTCTTAATTTTTTGAGGAATCTCCATACTATTTTCCATAGTGGCTGCACCAGTTTGCACTCCAACCAGCAGTGTGTGAGGGTTCCCTTCTCAATAGGAGACCTTTCAAGACCACTTTTTTGCTTGGTCTATTCAAGTTAAATAACCAGTACTGTGGCTACTGTTTATTTAAGAATGTTTTATTTGTTAAAATTAAAACCAAGAAAAAATTAGCAATTTATCATTGTAGCACAGAAAAGCATCTGGATTTGTAAACTTTGTCTTCCAATAGGTTGGAAACTAAGAACTGATGATGGCAAGGAAGATGTAAGCTATACCATTAACGGGACCTGTGAAGAAGAGTTGTTCACAAGTATTTTTCATGTATGTGACACAAAATGCAGAGGTGAGTTGAAAATTATCTGCTCAAATGTTTTGTAGTATTCACCAAGTCATCTGTACTTTATATTGTGAAAGGGAAATGGTTTATGTTTGGGGCTCTGTGCAACTTTGTCTACAAACGTGGTGGATGCAACCTAATTTGGGAGTAAGGGTGGCTATTTAGGTGTTGATTATTTCTTATAATTTCTTTGTACCTATTTTGCATATTTCCCCAGTGTCTTGAATGATTTTATTGAGCTTATCAACTGATTTACCAGCTCCATTCGTTGATTGGAACTACTTATGTGTCATGGGTGTTGCCTTGCGAGAAATATATACTTCCAACGTGTAAAACCACTATACAAATTTAGCTCAAAATTTTTAGTTAATTTTAGATTTTCACTTCTGCTTTTTTTAGAGATGTGTTCTTTTTAAAATTTCTGCAAGTAATTTTTAGTACATTAAATGACTCATGCTCATTGTAATAAAATTAATAATACATAGATAAGCAAAAAGAAAGGAAAAATCATCAGTAGGCCTATTTCCCTGAGTACCCATTGTTAGGGATTTGTTGTATAACTTTCCACAATTTCCTGTGCCAATATGGTTTTGTTTTTTGTTGTCAGTGCTGCGAGTCGATTCTGACTCCTAGTGACCCTGTGTACAGCACAGCTGAATGCTACCCAGTCTTCTTACACCATCCTCTCACCTTCGAGTGCTGAATAAGACAATGCTCCACTGCTCTTCATAGGGTTTCCACGGCCAATTTTTTTGGAAGTGGGTGGCCGGGTCCTTCTTCCTAATCTGTGTTAGTCTGGAAGCTCTGCTGAAACCTGTCCACCATGGGTGACCCTGCTGGTATTTGAAATACTGGTGGCACAGCTTTCAGCATCACAGCAACATGTGGCTGCCACAGTATGACAACTGACAGATGGGTCATGTGAGTCCCTGATCAGGAAATGAACCCAGGTCTTGAGTTGGGTGAGAGCACCGAATTTTAACCACTAGGCCACCAGGACTGGCTAGTTTTCTTTTGTTTGGGTTCAATTTTTTTTTATTATTATAGTGCATGTCAAACATATACAGAAATAGAGAGAATAGTATGGCAACCCCTTATATATGTGTCATAACCAATTATGTCTCATTTTTAACCCCACCCATTTTCCTCTCCTCCACTCTGGATTATTTTGAGACAAATCCAAGACATCACATTATTTCATCTGTAAATATTTCAATACGTATTTCTAAAAGATAAAGACTGATTTCAAACACAGCTGCAATGTTATTATCATGACTAAAAATGTAACAATTTCTTAATGTCAAATATCCTGTCAGTATTCAAAATTTCTCATTTGTATGAGAGATTTATTTTTTCTTGAACAGTTTAATTGTTCAAATCAATATCCAAGAAAGGTTTGTTCATTGTAATCAGTTGTCTGGCTTATCTCTATGTTCTCTTTCTACTTGTCTTTTTTGTATTTTAACTTATGTGTTAATGAAACTGGTGCTTTTATCTCAGAGAGCTTCTTCCAATCTGAATTTTGGTGATTGTGGGCTTGTAGAAACATTTGACTTGTTTCTCTGTCTCCTATATTTAGAGGTTTGATCAGATAAAAATTTGATTTATTTTCTTGGCAAGATTTCTACATAGATGGTGATATATATTTTGATCTGAAGGCAAAACTCTTGATGATGAAAGCCTACATCTATTTTTCCATTAGGTGTTGCAAATGGTGATATTCTGTCACTCCTTCCTAAATTATCGGCTGGCTGGAATAGTCTATAACGAGAAACTCTATCCTGCTTCATCTACTATTTGGCTGTACTGAGTCTTGAATCGTGAAGAGAGACAGGATAAAAGCTTTTCCTTTTTAAAAAATTTGATTGAGGTCACATTGGTTTATAACATCGTGTAAATTTCAGGTGTACATCATTATATTTTGGTTTCTGTATAGACTAAGATAAAAGCTTGATTGTTTCTGATCACTTGAGGGTAAGTTGGAGATGTTGTGCCTCTTTACCTCTAAGCACATCAGTGTGGATTTCCTATAAACAGGGACATTTGCTTGCACGACCACAGAAAAATGATCAAAATTGGGATATTTAACATTGATACAATACTATGATCTAATTCAAAATTCTATATTCAAATTTTGTCGATTATCCCAATAATATACTTTCTAGCTTTTTCGTTTCCTGGTCTAGGATCCTGTTCAGAATCACACTTGTATTTAGTGGTTACATTTCTTCCGTCTCTTTAAATCTGGAATGGTTCCTCAGATTCCTTGTCTTTTATGACTTTGAAATTTTTGAAGAGTATAGGCTAGTAACTTTGTAGAATGTCTGATATTTCCTCTTGATTATTCAAGTTAGATGTTTTCCCAGGCATGCTGCAGAAGTGATGTTGTATTCTTCTCAGTACTATTATCAGGATTTTTAACTTTGATCACTTGATTAGTGTGGTGTCTGCCAAGTTTCCTCATTGTAAAATTTCTCTTTTTCCTTTGTAATTAATAAGTAATTTATGGGAAGAAACTTGGAGTCGACGTAAATATCCTATTCCTCGTCAAACTTTCACTCACTCGTTTTAGAATCTGTGATGTTGCGATTTATAATAAGAAAGTTATTTTTGGTCTTTGTCCCATTTCTGGCACAGAGCTCCTAAAACCATTGCAATTTCCTAAGTGATGAGAACAATAAAGGTGTCTTCTGAGATGGTAACGAGTGACTTTTGGAAAGTATCTAAGAATGGGGGCTGGTTGCTAGAGGATCCAGCCGTCTAACCAGGTGATTAGACGGTTGGAACTTTCAGTCCCATGTTGTCAGTCAGTCATTCCCCCCCGCCCCTCCAACCTCTTGGCTGGAGATTGAGTTCGGTTACCAATGGCCAATGATTTAACCAATCATGACTAGGTAATGAGACTCCATCAAAACCCAAAAGGACAGGGTTTGGAGAGCTTCCAGGTTGGTGAACATGTGGAGATTTGGAGAGAGTGACACGCCAGGGAAAGCCTGGAGACACCATGCCCTTTCCCCCTACCTTGCCCTATGCACCTCTTCCATCTGGCTGTTCCTGAGTTATATTCTTTTATAGTAAACTGGTGATCTAGTAAGTAAAATGTTTCTCTGAGTTCTGTGAGCTGCTCTAGCAAATTACTCAAACACAGGGAGCAAGTCATGGGAACCTTCAATCTATAGCTGGTGGGTCAGAAGCACAGGTGACAACCTGGACTTGGGATTGGCATCTAAAAGTGGAGGGAAGTGGGTGGATGTCAGTCCTGCAGGACTGAGCCATTAACCTGTGGAATCTGACACTATCACCAGGTAGATAGCGTTAGAATTGAGTTGAGTTGTAGGACACCCAGCTGGTATCTGAGAATTGCTTGGATGTGCGAGGAAAAACCCCACAAATTGGAACTGGTGATCAGAAACACAGCTTCCATTGACATTTCCTGCCTAAATCAATTATTACTATGATGGTTGCCAAATAGGAATTTTTCTCTCTCCATCATTCTTTCTATATTTGTTACTTGCCAGTCTACCATAGGAGTTTTACCTTCTCCCTATTAACTATTAATTTCACTATGAATCTCTGGACTCTTCTTATATTCGATGGTTTATAATCTGCTACTATCATTATTTATTTTGATGCTCAAATTGTCCCGTAGTTGGCCAGCAGGATATTCTTCAAGCTGACTCCTGTGTCTGTTGGGTGTATCCCCATCTTTCTTTGAGCACTTCATTAATTCCTGATACAACCAGATGTGCCAGGTACTAATACTTTTGATATATCCTCATTGTTTTTAACAGCTTCCTTGTTTTCTCTGGTGTTATAAACATCTCTAGGTTTATCTTGTACATTTCCTGCCCCAACCTTTGAATCAGCTATTTCTTCAAAGATCCATAACTTCCTTTAATGGGAAATAATATATAGAGACCACAATCTGGGGACAAGGGATGGTGGCTATTTCTAGCCTTTTAGGTGGTCATACCTAGGAAGTACTTAGATTCTTTGAAGATAAAATACATTATGATTGCATTGCCTTTCTTCCGTGCAAGTTCAGTACAATAGGGGTTTTATTTATCTCTTCTACATCTGTATCTCCTTTCTCACCTAGAGAAAATCCTGGTTCTCAATGAAACCAATATAAATGTTCATTTGCGTTATTTTACGATACACACACAACAGTTTCAGAATAGCAATTCCCAAACTACTTGTATTATTTCTCTGTTGCTGAATCACCACAAATGTGGCAGCTTAAAACAACACGAGTTTATCACCTCACAACTTCTATGGATCAGGCACGGTTTGGCTGGGTCCTCTTCTAAGGAACTCACGAGGCTGCAAGTTGTTGGCCGGGACAGCTGCCTCATCTGTGGATCACCTGGAGAATGACCTGCTTTTGGTGGCAGAATTTAGTTCCTTGCAGTTATAGGACTGAGGGCTTCAGATTCTTGCTGCTGTCAGCTGGAGGCCTCCGTCAGTTTTTTGCCAGTTAGGCCTCTCAACATAGGCAGCCCATTACATGGGCAGTTTGCTTGTTCAAAGCCAGCAAGGGGGTGAGTCACTCCAGCAAGACAGGCACAGAGATCTTATGTAACTTAATCACACAATCATATACACATACATCCCATCACCTTTGCCATATTCTACTGGTTAGGAGCAAGTCATGGGTCAGGCACACATCCCAGGGGAGAAGACTCCACAAGGGTATAAACATCAGGAGGCAGGGATCTCAAGGGGCACCCTAGAGTCCGTCCCCCTCACTACCATAATACGATTGCTAAAAATGGTTTAAGATTTTTTTGGTCATTCTTTTTAAGGTATATACAACATGTTCTCTAAGTATGCGTAGGAATGTCTCCAGACTTGTTTTATAATCTGCCTTTTCTCAATAATTTTGAGTACTTGTTTCTGTCAACAAATTTTCTTTATATACTATGCTTTTTTGGGATGTAACATATATAACCAATCTGTCCCAATTGGATATTATTTTTTTCTCTATTATAAACAGCACCATAATGAACATTCTTGTAGCAAAACATTTGCATGCACCCTTAATTATATTGTTAGAATGAGTGGGGCTTATTTTTTTCCCAGAAACCTTCTCTGCTTGGATAGGATTTAAGGAAATATTTCCATGAAGAAAATAAGGAAGCTCTACTGAAGGGAGATGGGAGATGTATTAATCACGGTTCCCCAGAGAAACAGAACAAATAGTGTGTATGTATGTGTGTGTGTGTTATGTATAAAGAGATTTATTACCAGAAATAGGCTTACATGATTTCAGAGGCATGCAAGTCCCAAGATCTGCAGGGTGAGTCCACAAGATGGAGACCCAGAGAGCCAATGGTTTAATTCCAGTCTGAGTCCACAGGCCCGAGAACTAGGTGAGCTGATGGTGTAGTTCCTGTCCAAAGGCCCATAGACTCAAGACTGAGGAAGAGCTGCTGTTTCCGTTCCAGTCTGAAGGCAGGAAAAAAGCTGACGTCCCAATTGGAAGGCGGCAGGCAGGAATAGTTCTCTCTCCTTTGGGAAGGGTCTGCCTTTTTGTTCTGGTCAGGCTCACCCACATTAGAGAGGGCAGTCTGTGGTACTTAGTCGATCAATTTAAATGTCAATCTCATTTGAAAACACCCTTGTGGAAGCACCCAGAACAACGCTAGACCAAATATCTGGGCATGCTGTGGTCCAGTCAAGTTGACACATAAAAAAACCTTCACAGGAGACCTTGCCAATTTTGAGGTATATGACAGCGGGGTTAGAGTTTTTGTGGAGGAAAAGGAGATAAAGGTATTCTTTTTTTTTTTGCAAGGAAAATTTTTTTTATTGGGTTCATAATAGTTTACATCAATGTGAGATTTATGTTATACAGTATTTCTTGACTGTCACCACATAAGTGCTCCCCTTCACCCGCTGTGCCCCCCCCCCATACCCCTTCCCCTGGTAACCACTGAACTCTTTTCTTTGTCCCAGTACTTGTTTATATTCCACATGAGTGAAATCATCTGGTGTTTGTCTTTCTCACACTGGCTTATCTTGCTTAGCATAATTCCCTCTAGGTCCTTCCATGTTCTTGCAAATGGGATGAATTTGTCTTTTTTCCTGGCTGAGTAGTATTCCATTGTGTATATATATATACCATATCTTTTTTATCCAATCATCGGTCGATGGGCATTTGGGTTGCTTCCATGTCTTGGCCATTGTGAATAGTGCTGCAATGAACATAGGGGTGCATATGCTACTTTGGATTGTTGATTTCAGATTGTTTGGGTAGATACCCAGTAGTGGGATAGCTGGGTCATATGGTAGTTCTATCTTTAACTTTTGAGGAATCTCCGTACCATTTTCCATAGGGGTTGCACCAGTTTGCATTCCCACCAGCAGTGTGTGAGGGTTCCCTTCTCTCCACATCCTCTCCAACATTTGCTATTTTTAGTCTTAGTGATTATAGCCATTTTAACAGGCATAAGGTGGTATCTTAGTGTAGTTTTGATTTGTGTTTCCCTGATGATTAGTGGCGATAAAGGTATTCTTGTTAGCTTTCCAGCCCTCTTTCCAATTCTACTACAAATAAGGAATACAAATTCTCTCTCTAAATAATTATATTAATAATTTTATTTCCCTTTCCAATACTTCCTATCACAGCCAAATGACATTTTATATTGAATTAATACTTTCTTTAAAGTTATTCAGTCTTCTTTACAACTATCCCCTTGTTCTAATTACTAGACTTATTCTTTTCTTGTATCATGGTCTATACTTAGCTTCTTGACAAAGAATCTTTACTCCTGCATCCACCCTGTCAATCATCTACTTACTTTTTCTTCTCTACCTGAGGCAGCTAGCCCAAGGCAGGCTTCAGTTAAAAGTAAAAGAGATGTCTTATGCTTAAAGAAGATTGGTGTGTCAATCACTAACATAGTGTATATGCTTTTAATTTCTGAATGTGATGGTAGGGCTGACTGTACCTAAGAATGGCCTCTCCGACCCCACCCACCACCAAAAGCGTCAAACTACTTACTTGAGACTGAAATTTCATCTAGGTCAGAGCAAAAACTTCCTTCACTGAATGCTTTTTAAGGAAAGAATGAGAGCCAAAAATAAAGTGGCATTTTGATCACCTCCCACCGGTGATTATTGATTAGAAATGTCATCCATATTTAAACCTCACAACAACTCTCTATGATAGGTATCATCATCCCCATCTCACAGATAAGGAAACTGAGGCTCAACGAGAGGGAGAAATCTTCCCAAAGCCATGAGCTGATAGATTTCAGGGCCAAGATTTGACATCAGGTCCGTTAGACTCCAAACCAAAGCCAGTGCTCCTTCCACTCTGCCGTGCCAACTCAACAGGACTGCTGGGTTATATGGCATGTTTCTGGGACCCAAGGGACCTGAAAGAATTAAGCACCTCACTTTTAAAAAATAATCTTTCCCCATCTTTCAAAACTAACTTGCCTTTCTTCTTCCTAAGCCTCAGTAGGAGTTGCCGAAATAATAGATTACCTGAGACAAACAACTAGTCACGATTCTGAAGAGAGTGTCCTTGATGAGCTGTGGAACATGCTTGATCCTGAAAAGAGAGACCTGCACGTGGATATGGAAACTTTCCATGTCATCATGAGAGAATGGATGGCCTACCATAGAAACAAAGGGTAAAGGGTAATCTTAGTGCCCTCAAGATGCCTTCTCAGGCTCTGTTGTAACAATTGATTACAGTTAAGGCTAATAACTGTTTTCTGTGATGATGGAAATACTATAATCCAGCACTTTCTCATACTTTAGTATGCATTGGAATCAGCTGACCCATATTATACCTGATTGTTGGCCCGGTCTCACCACCTTGATTCAGTACTTCTGGAGTGGAGCCTGATAATTTGCATTTCTAACGAGTTTCCAGGTCATACTGATACTAATGGTGAGGCCAACGTGATGGGCACCCTTTGAGAACCTATTATGTTAATTATGTTAATTCTGATAACACATTGTGATTAGGGGGCAGCACATATTGTCATGTTCTTACAAAGAATTTGGCTGGCATAGGAGTCAAGCAAATTTTTTTTTTTTTTTTTTTTTTTGAGGAAGATTAGCTCTGAGCTAACTACTGCCAATCCTCCTCTTTTTTTGCTGAGGAAGCCTGGCCCTGAGCTAACATCCTTGCCCATCTTCCTCTACTTTATACGTGGGACGCCTACCACAGCTTGGCTTGCCAAGTGGTGCCATGTCCGCACCTGGGATCCGAGCCGGTGAACCCCAGGCCGCCGAAGCAGAACGTGCACACTTAACCGCTGTGCCACCGGGCCGGCCCCAAGTCAAGCAAATTATTGATACTGACTACCAAATCTCCAAATGCATTTAATCTCAGAGTAAACTCCCTTTTAAGGTCAGTGGGAGGTGAGTGTAATTTGGAAGCCTAGACTATAGGAAGGCTAAAGGGAAAAGGGAAAGATAGTGGGATAGAAAAAAAAGTGAAGAAAGAGCAGGGCATCCATGATCTCAGGATGCTGGAGAAGTTTCCAAAGGAAGTCTAAGTCCTGTGGCTTTTACTCAGCTGTTGATCTCCAGCTGTCAGGTGATATTTACTAGTGATCTGCTTAAAGAAAACTTCAAGCCCAAAGAGTGGCAAAACTTGCTGGATTTCATATAGGGTTAGGATGTACTGATGACTTAAAAAACATGACTGAAATGTTTCATGATTAATCACGAAGCAAGATAACACAAGTTAACTGTGAAGGTAAGGCAAACATATAAAGAAATCTAATCTTACTAATAATCAAAGAAATGCAGGGGGCCAGCCAGGTGGCGCAGTGGTTAAGTTTGCACGTTCCTCTTCAGAGGTCCAGGGTTCACTGGTTCGGATCCCGTGTGCGGATCTATGCACTGCTTGTCAAGCCATGTTGTGGCAGGCGTCCCACATATAAAGTAGAAGAAGAGGGGCACGGATGTTAGCTCAGGGCCAGTCTTCCTCAAAAATAAATTAATTAATTAATTAATTAATTAATTTTTAAAAAGAAATGCAAATAAAGAGAATATGCCATTTTGCCCACCAGTTTAACAAAGATTTAAAAGAATGACTCTGTCCCATGTTGTCAGGACAGGTGGAGAAATAGGTGCTCTCATACGTTGTTGATAGTAGTACAAGTTGGCACAGTTTTTCCAAGAGCAATTTAGGAGTGTGTGTCAAATCCTTAAAAACATGCAATCTATTTCAGCTAGTAATGTAACTTCAAGAAAAATAACCAATCATAAGTCTAATATATATGTAGAAAGTTGTTTATGATAGTGATAAATATAAGTAACCTAAATATTTAAAAATAGAGGGTTGGACAAATAAATTACAATACTTCCATACACGAGAATCCTAAATAGTGACTCAAAATTATAATTTGATAAATATTTGACAAGAGAAATATTTATATGTATTTGTTTCCAATAATAGACCATAGATTCATATATTTAGTATAATCCCATATTTGTCAAGAACTAAAAACTTCATAGGAAAAAGTTGGGAAGAATATATTCCAATGATTATCTCTGCATGATGGTTTTAACTTTTTGTTCTCTTTTCTTATGAATGTTCTCATTTTTCTAAAGTATTTGTTTGACTATATAATAAAAATATCAATAATCCGTACATATAATGCAGTGAAGGCAAAAGGAAAAACAATTTTTATAACAAATGGAAAGGAAAAGAAAAAATGTGGGGAAAGTTAATACAAAATATAAGAACAGAAACTCAGAAATACTGATGGGTGTGTATCTAGGAATAGAAAGAATGATGTATGAGTTATTCTGCTCACTACCTTCTGACAGACATCTCACATTGAACCACAATGAGATGTAAGACAAATTTAGAGAATTATGGCTGCTCCAGAGAGATAATCTAAGGATTTGTCATTTAGAAAGATTAAGTAACAAAATTTAACTATAGTATAGAGACTCTTGGAAAAGAAATGGTTGAAATTTTAATATGTTTATTTGGGGGGTTAGAACCAGAGTTTGGGGACTGGACAGAGGTCTGTGTAGGGGGCTCCTCAAATTTCCTGAGTAAAATGCTCACAGTAGTTAGTCTAGGTTCAACTTGGTTTTCCATGAGAAAGGGAAAATAACACCATCGTGTCCCAAAGGATTAATTGCTCTTGCCTCTTTCTTTCCAATCCTTCAAGGCGCACGGTCTTGCTACGTCCCTGTGTCCACTTATCACTGCAAACTATGTGGACTTCCCACCCCTAATTATAGTTGCTGTACATCACCACCTATTTCTTCATGCACATTTTCTTTTTCATGTTAGATTAAAAGGTTGGGGAAGGTGGAGGTAACGCCTTATGTTTCTTTTCTACTACCCTAACTTGGACTCCAAATAGTTGCTGAATCAATAGATGGTTTTAAAATTCAGAAAGAACTACCTGAATGGGGAAGTACAGAGCACATCTGAAAAATTAGCCAAGATTTAGTCTGGCAAAGAGCCCCAGCTCATTGGGTTTGTCTTTTGGCTGCAGGGAAGGAGGGAATAGTGGATCAAATGACAGCATCGAGGACTCTGTTTTTGAACAGGACAGCATAAAATCAGGTGGAACAAGTATGTATGTGTTTCTTCACGGTTGTTCTGCCACTTTCCTGTGGTTTGGAGAAATGGAGTTATCATGAGTCTCCTGTATGTTTCAGCCAAGATGGCGGCAGATGTAATAGCGTCTGCATCCGGGAGCTTCGAGGCTTTGGGTGAAGACATGTCTAAAGGAGTCTTGTAAGCGTTCTTACTTGTAGCGCTCTCTCAAGTGCCTCAAGTTTTGTTATTTATTTTTATTATTTCATAGATCTACATATTTTGCTTATGATAAAGTCACTTAGCTCTTTTGTGTGTGTGGTAAAGCTAACAATTTATTTTGAACTATTAACTATTCTATCCCAATTACATTAGAGCTAGTTTCACTAGGAACACAAATTATATGACGAGTATTATATAAATTAACGTTTTCTCACTCATGAAACCTTTCTCCTTCAGTGACTCCATGTGTTTTCATGGAAAACAAGTTCCATTTAAAGCAGTTATGACATTGACCTTAACCTCTTTGGGGGGTTATCTTTAAAGGACTTCTTTGATAGATTCTTTTCGATATCAATGAGAAAAGCTGTTTTCTGCTAAATGTGTGAGTTTTAGATGTTAAAGAGAGGTGATGCTGTCTCTGACTTAGTTTATCTTTCCCACTTCGGATTTACCCTTGCAAAGAGGTGGAATAGGAACCATGTACCCAACCAGTGCTGAGCACTGGGATAAAACGGCATGAAACACACAGTCCAGGCTCTCAAAAGGCTTATGTTCTGGGGCCAGCCTGGTGGCGAAGCAGTTAAGTGTGCACGTTCTGCTTCAGCAGCCCGGGGTTTGCCAGTTCAGATCCTGGGTGCGGACATGGCACCACTTGGCAAGCCATGCTGTGGTAGGAGTCCCACATATAAAAAGTAGAGGAAGATGGGCACAGATATTAGCTCAGGGCCAGTCTTCATCAGCAAAAAGAGGAGGATTGGTGGCAGATGTTAGCTCAGGGCTAATCTTCCTCGAAAAAAAAAGGCTTATCATCTAATGTCAGGGGCAAGACTCACAAACATTAGTGAGCTATAGAAAATATTAAGAAAGATGAGTACTAAATTGAGCTACAATAAAAAAGCCCCTCAGAATTGCTTCCCAGTTTAAAGGCCTATTAGGACCTGCCAAGATCCCTTGACTAAAAGAGTAGTGTGTCAGTTTGTTTCAGGATCTCCCATAACCTGGGCAGAAATAGGAACTCTGCAGTGTAGACAGAGGTAAATGTTAGGAGTGAAGTGGAAAGGAATAAACAACAGCTGTGGAAGGTGACTTCAGAACTGGCAGATGCTGAATACCTGGCAATTTTTTTTTTTTTTTAGGAAGATTAGCCCTGAGCTAACATCTGCTGCTAATCCTCCTCTTTTTGCTGAGGAAGACTGGCCCTGAGCTAACATATGTGCCCATCTTCCTCCACCTTATATGTGGGACGCCTGCCACAGCATGACTTGACAAGCAGTGTGCAGGTCCATACCCAAGATCTGAACTGGCAAACCCTGGGCTGACGAAGCAGAACATGTGAACTCAACCCCTGCTCCACTGGGCCGGCGCCAATACCGGGCAATTTTGGAAACGTCTCTGATGCTATTGTAATAAAGGGCTGAATACGTATTTATAGTATAAATGAACTTCCATTTATGAGGATGGAAGAGGATAAAGTAGTAAATCTCACAGGAATATTTAAGCCTGTTTGGGCTTAGCCATATGCTTTATTTTGATTGGAAGAAATTAGAGATGTTGAAGATTTTTCTCCTTCATTCTTTCTCCTGCAGAGAGGTGTCTGATTTGATTACCTATATAGCAGACCTGCATTTCAACAAGCGGAAGTTGGAGGAGGAAAATAATAAGTTTAAATTGGCATTAGAAACCTTGGAAGAAGCTAACAGCCAGTTATCAGAGGACGGCACTGAGCTGCGCCTTCGGATAAAAAGGTGAGCCACAGTGGGGTGCTGCATGCTGGGGGCTTTCAATTCTTCTTTCATTTTCTTTAAATTGTTTTTCATCAACGTATAATTCGTATTGCATAAAATTCACCCTTTTAAAGTATACAATTCAGGGTTTTTTAGTATATTCATAAGGTTATCCAACTACCACCATGATCTAATTCCAGAACATTTTCATCACTCCAAAAAGAAATCGCATACTGATTATCAGTCACTCCCCATTTCCACCTTTCCTCAGCCACTGGCAACCACTAATCTACTTCCTATCACTATGGATTTGACTATTCTGGATATTTCATATAAATGGAGTCATACGATAGGTGATCGTTGTGTCTAGTTTCTTTCACTTAGCATAATGTTTTCAAGGCTCATCCATATTGTAACATATATCACTACTTCATTCTTTTTCATGGCAGAATAATATTCCATTGTATGGATGTGCTCCATTTTGTTTATCCATTCTTCAGAGGCTGGACATTTTGATTACATCCGCTTTTTGGCTCTTATGAGTACTGTTGCTATCAACATTTGTGTACAAGTTTTTGCGTGGACTTGTGTTTTTAGCTGTCTCGGGTGTACACCTAGGAGTGGAACTGCTGAGTAGCAACTTATACTGAGCATTCTGAGGAACTGCTAAACTGTTTTCCAAAGCAGCTGTACCAATTCACGTCCCCACCAGCGATGCTGGTCAGTTCTTTTCTAGAGATGATGTTCTCTATGTCATTCAGGGTAGTCTAGATAAGACCAGTATGCCCGTGGGCCAAGTGTGGATCTAGCCAAAGAATTCTGTGGTTCAGCTGAACTCTTACTCTATGCAAAGTCCCATGCTGAGTATTATAAGAGACTCATTGATGAGTCAGATTTAAAATGTGCCCCCAGTGTACCTGTAGCCTAGAAGGATGATAGGAAAATTTGTGACCTTAGCTTAAGATAGAAAGGGATAAAGAACCTAGGAGACATACCAGGTAAAGGGTCCAATAGTAGTAAAATGGGTTTCAGGGAGATGCTCCAGCATCAGGAAAAAAGCAACAAGGTTCTCACAAAGTCTGCCTTTACAGATGTTGTAGGTGCTAGAATTCTGAACAGAAAAGGTCTAAGTTAACTTGAAAAGACAGTAAAGCATCTAACTATGGACTCCTACCCTCATAATTTTTGACTGGCCAGTCCAACCTCCAAACCAACCTATAAAACTCAAAAAATATGCTTAACTAAAGCTCTCTCCATTCCACAATTGGCTTATTTATTATTTATTTGAAATATAGTTATTCAGAATTTCTTTAAAAAAACTCTGCCTTGGATGAAAGTGCCGGTCGGGGCTTTTGGTTGCAAGCTCTAGAAGCTGATTGCGGTGACTGGAGCTGACTCTGGTTAACTTAAGTAGTGAAGAAACGTACTAGAAGGGAATTGGGTAACTTACAGAATAGAGAGAAAGGCTAGAAAATTCGGATGGGCAGCCAGAATGCCAGTGTCAACAAAATTAAGCCTTCGAGTCCTTCTCTTTCCTCCTTCCGCTAATCCTTCAGGAAGAGCCTCTGTTTCCTGTCAGTGCTCACAGGCTGTTTTTGGTACTGTGCAGTTGTCCCGTCATAGTAGAATTTGCCTTTTATATTAACAGTGCCCTCCTTAACGGGAGGAACGGTGTCTTTTCCATCCCGGCTACCCTAGTGCTTAGTAGAATGTCTACCATAGAATAGCTCTCCCTTCCTTCCGGTTGCCAGCAAGCCAGAAATCTTTGTCTCCTTTTTCTTCCTCGGCCTTCACTTCTAAGTCAAATAGCAGGTCCTGTTAATTTTACCTACCTTATATCTCTCAAGTAGAGTTACTTCTTTCCATTCCTGTGTCTGCACATAGTTCAAGTCAACATCAACTTTCACCTGGGTCGCTACAGTGGTCTCCTGATTCAGCTCCCTGCCTTTTCCCAAACTTATGCCACACCAGCAGGAATACTCTTCCTGCATGTCAGTCTGACCACATGATGCCCCTGCTTCAAACACTTCAGTCGATCCCTATCGATTCAGGATAAAACCCAAATTCCTTCATCTGGTTTGCAAAGCCCATCATGATGGGGTCTCTGTTGCCTTCTCTCTCCTTCCCAGTGTTCACTCTGGCTCCAACAATATCTAACTACTTGCAGCCCTTCAGTGAGCTGCTGTTCTCTCTCCCTCTTTCTCATTATCTGAGCTATCTGCCTTTTACACTGTGTCTCCAGAACTCGGGTTCACTCCAAGCTTGGTTCTTAACACACTGTATTGTAATAATGATTATCTGTTTACCCTAGTAGACTATAAACTCCAGGAAGGTAGACTTCTCATGACTGGGTTCACTTTTGTCTTCTTCAATGCCTAGCATAATGCCTGGCACAGAGTTGGAGCTCAATAAATACTTGTTGAATGATCAATGTTAGTAAGGAAAAAAATTGCACCCTCTTTGAGACCCTGCTCAGAAAGCAGTTTATAATTTAGTGGGAGCACAAACAGGTAATTTCATGATATGGATTACTGTAATATATTTAATCGGTTTCCTTTTGTTGGCCATTTAGGTTGTTTCCAATGCTTTGTTGTTGTAAACAATGATATAACAAACTTTTTAAATAAAATATATCATTTAGAGACAATTTGCAATTATTTATTGGTTTAGTTGTCATCTCCCTCACTAGTATGTAACCTCTATAAAGGCAAGGACCATGTCTGTTTTGTCCACCATCATACGCCCCCTTGCAGGGTATAGCACCTGAAACATGGTATTAATCAGTAAATATTTGTGGAATTGCATTAACTAATGTCAGATCTTATTAGCAGAAGGAGAGAACTGTGTGATTCAGCCAATGATGGATTTCAATGGAAGTCTCCAAATCTTTATCTTCAGGAATATGTTTGTTTCCTTCTATCCTTTTTCCCCACCACACTCCCCCCAAATCCCTTCCTTCTCCAAGGACTGTGAAAGATCATGGGTATATTTTTGCTATTGTTGGCATCTGGTTTGAGTTTTCAGTGGTTTTCAACTTGGGTCCAAAAATAGTTCTTGGCTTTACATAGCATCTTTGACAGTTATATTTGAGGTTTTGCTCATTGCCTTCTCCCCCACCCCCACAGTGCCCACCAGGCTATTATGAGAACAAATCTGTTAAAAGAAGAACTGGAGGAACTGAAAATTAGTATGAATGCTTCAGAAGAGCAGAAGACCATGCTTGTAGCGCGGAACAAACAATTAGTGAGTCATCCAAGTACTTTGAAATTGGCATATAGTTTACATAACTGAACTCCAAAGAGGGTTTATTTGGAGGCGAAAATCAGAAGTCGGTAGGCTGATAAATGAATTGGTAACACCTTAGAAAAGTAAATACAGGTGGGATAAAATCTTTTCAAAGAAGATTAAGATTCTTTACAAATTAGTCATATTCACAATGGTTTATGAAGATCTGAAAGATCTCTGGAGTAGCTCCTGAAGCTGACAGGTGAATTCGTAAATACCTAATGCTGAAAACCACTTGAATTTTCTAAAAAAAAATTCTTGGTCTAACTTTCACCTTTTTCTTAGATTTTAAAAAAATCAGTTCTGTCAGTACTTACAGATGACTGAGAAGTTCTGTAAATCAATCCTTATACTAAATAAGACAGGCTTGTAATTTTTTGAGCAAAGCATTGCTTAGACTAGGCTTTGACTCAACCACCAGAGAAGTAATCATTTTTATTGAGAATGTCCAAACTAGTATTCAGAGCTTTAGTAATAATCTTCAAAATCCTGGTATATTCCAGCAGTATATTAGCTTGGCTGGGGTGGTGGAGATCAGCTGAAAGTCATTCAGACTAATTTATTTTTAAGTCTAAGTCATCAGACCTGGGCTCTAGGCTTGTGTCACTCATTTGTGACGTCCCACAACCAACGCATAGCTCTTGACTCAATAGTAATTTGTGGAGACTAGACTCATTGAGTGTCAGGATGACTCTGCAAGTCTCTGTGAAAGCATTACAGGAAAGACTAATTTGGGACCACTGAGGAGCTTCTAGCGGAGGCAATGGAAAGCAATGATCAAGAGCCCACCCTTGGGAGTCAGCCTACCTGCATTGAAGTCCTGACTCTGAAGGCTGTGTAACTTTAGGCAAAGCACATAACCTCTTTAAGCATCAGTGTCCTCGTATGTAAAATGGAGATGACAATACTACCTACCCTGGGGCTGGGAGGGTTAAATGAGTTAATGAGTGTAAAGCAGTCAATGCCCTCTTTCCTACTGGGGCAAATAATGCTAGCTGCTGCTATTAAAAATGCAGAGTCCTAGATATGTAATCCTAATCCTTTGCATTTTGTAGTGTTTTACAATTTCAAAAGGATTTTTAATATTTAATTTCGTTGGTCATCATATAAATGCTGTGAGGTAGAATCAGAAATTGCTATTCTTCATTAAAATAATTAAAAGAGTTATAGGCAAAATCCAGAGGTCTTTTTGATTGTTCAAAATCGTCTAATAAATGACAGAGCTAGAATTGAACTCAGGTCTTCTGATTCCAATTATGTAGTGTGTGTTCCTTCATTCTTGTCCCAGTGACATCCTAACTTGAGATGTTTTCCCTTTATTTTTATATTATAAAGATAATACTTGTTCAGTCTGTAAGAATAAGGAAATGCATATTAACAAAGAAAAAATAAAATTCCACAAAATCTTTACCCTGTCCTATCCACAAGATTTACTGTTAACATTTTGGCATATATCCTGTCCTGGAATGTTTTTTCTTCTAATGGTTCTGAATTTGGGGCGCTTCATTATAAAGTAGTTTTTAATATTTGTATGTTCTGGTAATGTTGAATCTGGGACTATCCACAGCTTCAAGTAGAAAGCTAGAACTCTTTGTGATTTCAAGTTGCGGTTTAAATAGATGAGTTCACACGACTGCTTTGAGTGGATGGTGGTAAAGTAGCAGGGAGGGAGCCAGGCTGTTCCTTTTTTGTTTTTTTCTGTCCCTCCCTAGCTGTCATAATTCAATTGAGTTAAGGACGAGAGGGACTTCTCACAGATCCCAAGAAACTGGAAGCCAAAGGCTTAACCCCATATTGAGAACGTTTACAGACTAGCCTTGTTGTGATGTGTTAATGCCATATTTAACGCTGATAAAGGGAAAGAATGTTGATAGCCTTGGAGATAAATACATGGTATTTTCATAAAGTTCTCAAATACTTTTAAATTACTTTTCCCTTAATGATTCAGGAGACAGAAAACCGGGCTCTGATTCTTAAGATTCGGATTCTCCAAGAAGAGGTATGTTAAAATTGTTAAACACGGGCACAGATAAACCTATGGAAATCACAGTCGTGGGTCCTGACCCTGAGTTAAATAGAAATCATGTGAATATTTAGGCTCCTGTGGGCCGAAGACCAGGTTGCTTTGTCAAATGACAAGTGAGGAAGAGTGGGTAGGATTTTCATGTCTGGACAGAAATACGTTATTGCCTTTGTAATTCTCCATGGGAGAAACGGGATTTAATAAATTCAGATTTAAGATGAAATGAAATTAACCTGTCTAAAAAATATACAGATCAAGAAGGAAAGTGTAGACATTAATAATTTTCCATTATTCTACTGAACTAGGTGGCAAAAGTCTTGAGTCTGACAGCCAGATCTTAAACTCACTGAAAGTCTGACCTTGGAAAAACCATTTATCTTTTTTGGGTTAGTAATACCTAATTCCCTACATTATTTTGGAGATTAAGATAATGCATGTGAAGCCATTTGGTTAACCATGAATGTACCTCATATATATTAGGCAATGTTAATAAAATCTCTTAAAAAAAGAATAATTCTATATAATATTTTTCTTAAGCCACAGAATTAAAGCATTGAAAGAACAAGTAACAAAGCTACTAGTAAGTTACTATTTTGGTGGGAAATTCTCTATAGGTACCTTTTGAATGTCAAGTATCATGCATGATTTTTTATTTGGGCTTTATATAAGCTTACTGGAGGTATTTTTATCCAAAATATGGATCACATGGACATTAAAAACATTTCATTGTGGGTTGGAAAGGAACAATTAAAGATTGGGGGGGGGACCCCTACATTAGATTCAGGCGTGTTGTATCTACAAGGTCAGGTTTTTGTGAAACTAGTGCTTTACTATTAAGCTCCCCATGTAAGATATTTTTCTCCTCATATTTAACATGATTGACCAGCATCAAAGAATTGTACCAAACCAATTTAGAATTAAGACAGAAGGAAGATGATTTGGAACCCTTCATCATGAGATAGCACTACAATGATTGATGTACATTAGAAAACACATATGAATGATACTGGTAACTAAGATTCCTTTAGGAGGTAAAAATCTGATGCATTGTGAAGAGTAACAGCTCAGTGGTTTGGCTAGTTACTTGCTCTCATTCATTCATTCATTCATTTAGCACATATTCACTGGGAGACCTCTATGTGCTAGGCAGTACTCTAGGTGTTGAGGGTACAAGCTTAAGCAAAATAGCCCATGTGGAACTAGCATGTTAGATGGTGGTTAGTGCTGTGGAGAAAAGAAAAGCAGAAGACAGAATTGTGGGGGAATGCAATTTAAACTAAGGTGGTTAGGAAAAGTAGCGCTACGAAGTTAATCATTTGGTTGAAAACTGGAAAGGAGGTTTATCTGTGGAAGAGCATTTCAGGCAGAAGAAATAGCAAGTTCAAAGTCCTCAGGCTGTAGCCTGCCTGCTACTTTTGAGGGACAGCAAGGCCAGCATGGCTGGAGCAGAGGGAACAAGTGGCAAGAGGTGCGGCAGAGAGCTGCAGAGAGCCAGACCCATGGGGTCATGTGTAGGCATTGTATGGACTCTACCTGTTTACACTGAGTGTGATGGGAGCTGTTGGACGGTCTTGAGCAGAAGAGTAACATGATCTAATTTCCATTTTAACCAGGTAACTCTGGCTGTTGGGCTTAGAATTGACTATAGTGGCCCAAGGGGAGAAGCAGGGAGACGAATCAGGAAGCCCTTAATAATCCAGGCAAAAACTGATGGAGGTTTAGACCAAAGCAGTAGCAGTAGAGGTGGAACGAAGTGTTCAGGTCATCAAATGCTTTATAACATATTCAAAGGTATTTATTATCTATTCAGGTAGTATCGAAGTTCTCATCTAATTCTTTCTGATGTCTCAGTGAAATACCAAGCAAAGTCATCAGCTGAGAGTGAGGATATTGGAGGAGGTCTTGGAAGTTCAAGGAGAGAGAGGAACAAAATAGATTAGGACTTGGCAAATGTTCTGTGAAGGACCTGATAGTAAACGTTTTTAGGCTTGCCTGTCTAAAAGGCCTTTGTTGCAACCACTCACTGCTGCCATTGTAGTGTGCAAGCAGCCATAGACAATATGAAAACAAATGAGCACAGCTGTGTTCTAATAAAACTTTATTCACAAAGCCAGGTGGTCAACCAGAGTTGGCCTGTGGAGATGGGAAGTTGGTGTAGTTTGAAAATCCCTGATTTAGGCAAATGGCCGTGTGAATGGACTAGGATTATATGATATGATCACCAGTAAACATTGAAGTTAAAAGTTATGAATTTCACGTGTGACCTGTTGATTCATTTGTATTTTTCTTTAACAATGTTTATCTGAAAGAGTGCTGGCATGGAGTGGGTGGCAAACTGGAATCAAGCAAATACTGAGAAGTAGGGGAGAGGCAAGGGAATTGGAGGGATGTGGAAGAGAGTGATTTTTATGATTGGCCATGGAAGAATGTAAGCTGTGTCGGGAGGGGGCTGAGTTCATGGGAAGGTGGAAGGATAATGAGAAGGTGATAGGATCAATTTATTGCAGGCGTTAGTGGGGATTGAGGGTTTGTCGGTGCTCAAAGAAGTAATCAGGAAAGATAAGAAGTGGTGGTTGAAGAATGAGATGCTTGCCGTTAAGATAAGGGAGGCATCACAGTTGCTGGTAATGACAAGTTTGAAGGTATGACTAGGAAGTGAGGGTGAAATGGAAGATAAGAAGGGACTACTGAGAGTATCCCTGGATGGTCATGTTAAATGTATCATGTTATTCTTTGGATAAAGTCTTAAATTTTGTCCCTTAGTTTAAAGTGTACCACAATGTTAATGATGAAAAGACTTTGTGATGTTCTTTTAACTTTTTGCTCTAAATCTAAGAATACGATCTTCTTTTACATTAGAATACTAAGAATATTATGGATATATATAAATTGGAAAAGAAGATAGAGGAATTGTCTAAAACTGAGACAGAGCACCAAGTAAGCACTTCCCAAATACTGGTAAAATATTTTCTTCCATCAAACTAATTTTACTCTATAAAGATGTATATGACTCATTGACACAATAAACTTTGATTATGAATTTTGAAATCTGTACTCCTCAAGATGTCTGAATTATATAAAAGGCAGTTTCTGGTTTTTTTTAATTTAACGCCTTACTGATATATAATATTCGTGCTGTTAAATTCACTCACTTGGAGTATACAAGTCAGTGGTTTTTAGTATATTCACAGAGTTGGGCAACTATCACCAAAACCAATTTTAAAACATTTTTATCGTCGCAAAAGAAATTCCTGTAACAGTCACTCCCCATCCTCCCTACCCGCTGCCAACCCCAACCCTAGACAATCGCTAATCTAATCTACTTTCTGTCTCTATAGATTTACCTGTTCTGGACATTTCATGTAAATGGAATCATACACATTATGTGGTCTTTTGTGACTGGCTTCTTTCACTCAGCGTGTTTTCAAGTTTCATCCACGTTATAGCGTATATCAATACTTCATTTCCTTTTATCGCTCAATAATATTCCATTGTATGGGTCTACCACATTTTGTTTATTCATTCATTAGTTGATGGACATTTGGGCCATTTCTACTTTTTTAGTATTATGAGTAATGCTGCTATGAACGTTCATGTATGAGTGTTTGTATGTGCATATGTTTTCATTTCTTTTGAGTATATACCTAGGGAGGACTTACTGGGTCATGTGATAACTATACATTTAACCTTTTGAGGAACTGCCAGACTGTTTTCCAAAGTGGCTCTACCATTTTACGTTTCCACCAGCTGTGTATAAGACTTCAAATTTCTCTACATCCTTGCCAACTCTTGTTATTATTTATATTTTTTATTATAGTGGCAATTTCTAACTTAACAGTATCTGATTTTGTAAATCCCTGTCAGGAAAGATTTCAGCTATTGTACCTTCTTAAGATGGAAAATGAGGAGAGATGGGAAAATCTATCCTTGACTGAATTAAGGGACGATGCCTTACAAAAATGATTTTTATCTATTTTGCATCTAAAAAGTCTATACTTAGTATGTATTTTTGTTATATCTGCCATACATTCTCATCAGGATACAAAGGCAGTTATTAATGAATTTAAAAATTTGTGTCATGCTTATTGTTATCTCTAATGGTTTTTTTTTTTTTAAGATTTTGTTTTTACTTTTTCTCCCCAAAGTCCCTCAGTACATAGTTGTATATTTTAGTTGTGGGTCTTTCTAGTTGCGGCATGTGGGATGCCACATCAGCGTGGCCTCATGAGTAATGTCATGTCTGCACCCAGGATCCCAACCGGTGAAACCCTGGGCCGCCGAAGCAGAGCGTGCAAACTCAACCACTTGACCATGGGGCTGGCCCCTCTAATGGTTTATTTGAGCAGTGTTTTTTGTTGTAGTATACGTTTGAAATGATGATGGACTTAAATTTCATGTCTATACATGAAATTTTTAAGTTTCCTAGCAGACATCCAAATTCCTTGTGTATATCTACATATACATATATTATAGCAGTTATAATTTAGACATTAAAATTAATTTTATTCTAGGAATGATTGTCTTTGGAAAACACGACTGTCATAAACTAGTGGAAAGAGCCAGAAAACATGGGTTCAAATCCTGTCTTCTCTACTTAAAAGCTTTATAACCTCAAGCAAGTAGTTAACCTCTTTAAGTCTCAATTTTCTCACCTACTAAATGGGTATGATATTTTCTAACTAATTCACAAGCTTGTTGGAAATTCATATGAGATGATTATGTGAAAATACCTTTAGAACTATAAAGGGATACCAAATATATATGATTATGATAATGATTGTACTTCTGACTATGCTGATTATGTTTCTAGGTTTTCAATTCAATGTACATATTTATCAATTGTATTGTATTTAGAAGCCAATGCCAACAAGCTTGCTTTTGTTTTGAATAAACTGATAAAGCCTTAATATTTATTTTGCTAAAAGAAATCATGAACATTTTTAAACGATGTTTTTAAAAGAAGAAGAGCCTTCTATATGTCCACAGAGAGTCTGTTCATGTCCTATCAAGATTTTCATTTTCACTAAGAAAATGAAGACTCCGTGTCTCCTTAGTATATGAAGTGTGAAGGGCCCTTGGCTGGAGCTGGAGACTCATATTCTAGGCTCAGTTCTGTCACTTGCCATGTGTGACATTGGGCAAGTCTCTGAATGGTGCTGAGCCTCCATTTCCTCACTGGTAAAGGAAGGACAATGACTCCGGCCTCCAGGGTTGTTGTGAGGCTGATGTGAAAGTTCTTTATAAAGTGAAAAACATAGGCATGTTAAAGGCGCTTCAGAAACTTGTCTCAATATTGAAATGATTCTGTGGCACTGTCCTTTCCCAAAGCAGTGTCTCAGTGGCCTTCCCTAAATTTGTTACTTTTCAGATGCAGTTACACACGTATGAGAACGCTTTACTTAGTAAAGACGCAAGTTTGCAGAAGGTTGGTACTGTCCCTTCCCGTGAAGTCCCGTGGGATTGGCTAGCTCTCTACAAGTCATAAAGGAGATGTTCATTTGTGTAACTTCACCCCTGTTAAAGTAACTGATTCTAAATTTTGACACAAGACTTTCCTTTATAATACTTCACAGAAATGTTCTTCTGAATGAAGAATACTGACTTCTTTATCAAGGATAAGTTTTAGCATATCCTCTCTAAATTCTGGTGGTGTTCATCCGTTTATACAACAAATATCAGTGCGCCAATTTACCAGTTACTGGCTAGATACTGGCGATGCAGTTCTAATTCATAACAATACCAGTGAGTATGTAGTCATTCATTTTAGGGAAGAAGAGTATATTCCCAAATTATTTTCTACCTTGCTTGTTTGATTGTGAAATAGCTAGACAGCTAGATAGCTAGATAATCTTTCTATTTATCCTTGTATCGTGTGACCATAGCCTATCAGGTAACAAAGGATGCCAGTTACAGAAATGCTGATTATGGTGGCTTTAAGAGACCCAAGAAGGACACAGCCTCAGTTAGTAAACTTCCACATTCCAAGACAGGGAAGTGAAGCAAGAGCAATATTTCTTCTTTTCCTTTCCCTGAATTTATGAAGTTGCAAAGGAGTCATTCATGGCTTGTGGACATTGACAGGGGTACTGAATATTGTACCAACTTTATCTCTTCATTGTGGGTGTCCTCTGTCTCTGTGTAGTGATGTTGTGGTAGTGGTGGCTGCTCACTTCGTCCATAACTCTGGTATTTCCACCACTTTGCACTTCTGCTCAGCATTCAAAGGTATTGATTGAGCGCTTCCCGTGTGCCAGGCACCGTGCTAGTCATGGGATAAAATTACAGGTCACACACTGACCGTACCCTCTGGTCTTGCAGTACAAAACTATGATTTTAACAGAGATATTGTTTAAACTGTATAAAATTGGATGCCTTAATAATTCCTTTGTCATTTGCAGGTAAAGACTGATTTTTTTCCTTCATGTATCATGTTAATAAATATAGTTTTGACTTTCACTCAAGAATTACGTTTCAGGCTTTGATTCTATTGGGCCCGGCAAACACAGAACATAATCACACCAATTAGATATAACTGCCTTGCTGTCCTTTGCTTTTTGTGTGGTTTTAGCTATAAACACAGACTGGTTCAGTTTGAAAATAGTGAGATTGGTAGAAGGTCTCGTGATCATTGGGCATTACAATTCTTCTGTAGCTGAGATTGGTAGTCTAATAAATATGATTTGGTGGACTCATATATCTATGTGTGATTAGTTCTCTCTTCTGCTTTTCAGAAGGATTTAAGTATAGAAGAACTTAAGTCAACCATCATTGAATATGGAAGCATTATAGAGGTATACCATAATCTCAGAGTTTGCAAGGTGGGCTTGTTAAATGCAAATGTAAATCCCCCACCAGAGTAACATGTACAGCCTACTGTTGTATGTGATTCCAGAATTTACGAGGGGATAAAAACAAACTGGCTCATGAGTTACAGCACTTGCAACAGGAACTCGTCATGTAAGTACAGAGCTACTCCTCATCAGCCTTCTCTCCTGTGCCTCCCCTACATTACTGACCTACTGAGCCATACGCAGTTCTTTGAATGTGCCACATTCTTTTCTTCTGTACCTCAGTAAGTGATATTTTCTCTGCTTTTTCTCTAAGAGAACTTTTTCACAAGTTTTCCGTGACCCTCGCTTGCCTCACTCTTACCTTGAGATGAAGTAATCCTTTTGAGTGCATGTATGGCATGTTGCTCTGACCTCTTTCCTAACACACATCGTCCTATATTATAATTGTTTGTTTCTACATATGTGTAGTATGCTAGTCCAGGAGTCCACAAGAGCCACTCAGATAACAAAAACGAGTAAGACCAGGGGGGTGGGGCACACACTTACGTTATGAGAGTGACGAATGAGAAAAGTGCATTCCCCAGATAAAGGCAGAGGGGGCTACTCTGCTTAGCTCCAGCTAATTGTTGTGTCAAGAATATATGGAGCCAGTGTGGCCACATCGTCTGATTTTTTAAGAAAAGCTAGCAATCTAGATTTTTAGCAAATTTTCTAATTTTTAACTATTGGCTCCAATTCTTAAAAAAAAAAAAAACAAAAAAGTGTGGCCTACTTGTTTGCAACTACCTAGAGTCACTAGACTGTGCAGCTCCGGGAAGACAGGGTCTGTCTCTTATTGCTCTCTGTATTCCCAAGTGCCTTATACAATCCTTGGCACATGTGAGTACTTACCGATTGTTTGGTGATAAACAAACCCTGTTCTGGTGACTTAAATATAATGTTGGAAGCACACCTAACCAGACTGGACTACTGTTTTTGTTTTTCAAGAAATGGGATCCAGTTGAATCTTCATGGAGAGCCTAATAGTATCATCTCTGATGGAGAAAAATCTTTGCATTGTGAACTCATTCTTGCTCAGTCTGCAGAGGTAGGTAATTACCATCAAATGGAAGCCTTTAAAAATAATCACCACATGCAATAGCTTACTATTAAATCAAGGTCCGTAGGTTGTGGAAAAGCACCTGTGATGTTTTGAGGGTATCTGTTGACAGTTTTTTAGAATCCAAGTCTAGAGTCTCTTAGCCTGGAAGAACGGATGTTTTTCCAATTACGGCCGAAAACCATAGTGAAGCTCAAGCATGGGGTTGTGGAAGTGTGCGTTCAGTGAATCTGGGCTTTCAAAATCTTTATATTCTTGATATTTTTGAGACAAACTACCTGCACTGATCCCCAGCGTGGGGTCCTAAAGGAAGCAGTAGAGATGCGTGAACTAATTTTCATTATTTCCCTAAACCCCTAAAGTAAATGCATCGACCAACAATAAAGATACTCAGACACAACGTGAAATTTCTTGGCTTTAGGATGTAGTTGTACCAACCCAATTTAATGACAGTGATTATTCCATTCTGAACAGAAATTAGCATTTTTATATATTTTTCGTTAATTTTAAAATGGCAAAATGAATTATTACTTTCAAAAAATCTCAGTTTGTTAGGTAGACCCCGTTTTTTACATATGGGAAGAAGCAATCAAAAGCCTTCTTGGGGGTGAAATGTTGGGACCCCCTCTTCCCTGAACTGTATTTTTCACTCCTTTGTACTTTCCAGTTTTGTGCTTGTTATGTTAGGAAATGCAAATTGCTTTCTTTTCACTACTTTGATGTTCTCTCCGTGTCTGTGGACGATGGATATATCAGAATGTCCTCCTGTCAACAGGTGTGATGTGACCTTGAAAGGAGAGGGAAAAATGTCTTTGGGGCAAATGCTGTTTGAATTTCTCCCGCCAAGGACGCAGGGGCAACATATGCTGCCTTCATCTGAAGCCGTCTCAGGCAGCCTTGGACATTCTGCTGAGGGCTATGCTTTCCTGACGTTCTGTTTCAACTACTCATCATTTTACTTGTGTTTTTGAAACCGAGCCAAACTGCCAGACTGAATGGAATGGTGGCGAATCTGCCATGGCAGTGTGTTTTTATCCTCAGTCCTTTGAGATAATGATGATGTCAAGATACCAGCCTGTAAAGTTCTATACTTCTAAACAGGTTAAACCGCTGGCGAAGTCCTGCCTGAAGGTTACCCCACTGATAGATTAAGAAGTTTGCCTTCTAATTGAAATCTGGAAATAACAGCCCTCTGACCTTTTTCCAACAGACAGCAAGAAGAAAGTTAGATGTATTGTCATATATGTAAAATAGGAGACAAACTTTGAGAGAAGTGTAAGAAATATGTTTTGTGAAACATCATCTAGTGTCTTCTGTGAATGGAAGGGAGACAAAAGAAACCAGTCTATTTTCAGTAGGACACATTGAGCACTCTCCCTGACCCCCCAAATTTTTTTATCTGTGAATTTCTTTACCTTTCCCGAGTTTCATAAAATTGGAGCTGTAGCCATTTATTTCACCAACATGTAAATATTATCTATTGGATAAATGAGTTTTCCTGAAGAATGAATAAATGTTAAGTTGAAGCCATCCTAGAGAGAAATGCAAACAGTTTTTTGGGATGTAGGAAGATTCTGTGAGACTATTTAGTATTGTTTGATGGGGACAATTTCATTGACCCATGGGCAGCATTTTCATAAAATAAAAATAATGAATGTTCTTTATTAGAATGAGAGAGTTGTGGACATTTTGGTAATTGTTTCAGAACAATGAAACCGAGTGGCAGTGCAATTTAGTCAGCTTGTCATCTCCAGACATGATGATGGACCAAGCAATGCCACTGTTCCTGAGAGAACTGGAACAAGAGGGAGTGGAATTCAGAGTTATGCTTCACAAACTGGTATTGTGTAACATACGCATATCCTGATGTTTCACTGGCTATGGTTCTCTGCAGATAACTGACCTGATAATTCAGTCTGTTTGCTGAGAACAAGCATATCTGTGAGTAGTTGAGACCCAAGTTAATCCTACTATGAAGAGAGATTTTTCTCAAATCTTCAAGTTGGTCTTCTAGTTCTGGGTCAGTCAAGAGTAACAGGTTGACCACTAGGTATGGATTGCTTGAGCTTATTTTTCCTACAGGTTAATCTTTAGTATCAAAACATTGAAGACACACTATCTGTTGAACAGTTTCCTTCTAGCTAATGGCTAGTACCTCTTTCTTCATTTTGACTTTTGACTGGAAACTCTAGATGGTCAGAGAAAGCAGAGAACAACACCTTCATGTTAGTATTTCTAGTCCCTTTCACAGTCCTTAGCATAGAATAGGTAGCATTTAGTTTGATGAATGAAAAAAAAATCCCTGAAAATGCTTGTTTCCTTCTACTTGAGAGGGAAATGAAAATGGGTAGGTTTTGTTCTGGAAAATGAGTCTATCTGTATATATTTAGCATGTCTAGAGCACCTGATAAGGGTTAGCATCTACACATGGCAATATGCTGGGATAAAGGAAAGTCACTGGGTGGCATTAGATGAGAAGACACTCTCTCTGGTATCTTCTTGAATTATCTAGATAGTAGAATTTTGGTCTAAATTACATCTTCTCATATCATAGCATATGCCTTTCACGTGCATTCCTAGTTGAAGATGTGGAACTCTTTTTCAGCATGGAGAAGTTTCTGAAGTTGAAACCCTCATTGATAGCTCTCTACAGTGGGTAACTAATCCAGAAATTACTGTGAAAGAAAAGTGGGAGAACAAGCTTACTGTAAGTGTTCCATATTTTGTGATATTGGTTTTTCTTCTGCTTTCTTAATCCAGGTAATACTTATTATATACAGTACCATTTCTAAGACTTTATTGTTGCCTTCTGCTATCTCAGTCTGATGATATGTGTAGAGTGTGTGTCTGGGGATGTGTATGAGTGGGCATATGTAGGTGACAGTAAGAGGGTGAGGGTTAAGATGAGTGTGTTTGAGTGTGAGCGTGAGGAAAGAGAGAGTGAGTGTGAGGATATGTTATGTGTGTCAGATAGACAAAGAATAAATAAGATTATTTAATGAAAAGATGTTTTTATTTGAATCCTTGTAAGAACTGACTAATCTAAGCTTGGACTTTTTCCTTGGCCTATTAAAATTCTCTGCTTTTCATAGAATGATTATTGTGCAAAAAAATCTTGTTCCTGAGACTGACAGTTTTATTATCCTAGAAATTAGCAGAACATTGGAAAAATGGGAACTTCTGGGGTAGTTATTCCCAGTTTTGTTAGAAAGGAAGCATTCAAGCAGAAATCTCTTCAATTTATCCATCACTAGTTGTCTGTACTTCTGGACTGCCATATGATTTCCTAACATCTGTCAGCCTCTAAAGTTAAGCTATAAAGCAAGAAGTAAACTCTTAAAAATCTGTAATATTAATTTCAACCCCTTTGCCAAACTAACCTTTTTTTAAAAGTTGCTTTTAAGTATGCTAATTAACAAATATTGATTTTATTGCATTTCCTTATTCCACCCTATTTTAAAGCAATTATGATTATTGATGAAATGGTCAGAGACCCATTCATTGTAAGAAAAAGAAAATAAAGCTCAATTTTAGGCACATGATAGGTACCCAATACATACTTGTTAAGTTGAGATAGTCAAATTAAAAGATAATCAATCTTTGGGCAATTGAGAATTGTACCTGTTCAATCAGAATTTTAGGGTCCAGTAACAGTGAATACTATTGAGATGAGAATAGCCACAGCATTTTATATTGCCTCTGACATTTGTTTATATTGAACACTGGAATGGTGGAGTTTGTTTTGTGTCTTTTCTTATAGGAATTCAAATATATCATGGAAGAGAAGCTAAATCTTTCCATATTAATGCTGAACAGCTTGGGAAACCACAAAGAATCCCTCGATAAAGAGTTTGTTAAATTGATAGAGATTCTGAAGAGATTCAGGCTGGAATATTTATATTTCAGAAAAGAATTTCTTTCCAGGTGACAATCATTTATATATAAGAAACCCATGCTGTATACACATGACACATTGGTGATTGTGCCCTGGTGTTCAGTTTACTTTTTTCAAGTTGTATACATTGATTTCTGATGACACTTTGTTAGGGAAAACATTTTGTCTGACAATTTTTGAATTGTGAAATTAACTTTTATATTCAAAATTGCAAATAATAAGCTCTAAAATCTGTGGGAACCAGTATAATGAGTTATTTTCCCTAGAGAAAGAATTTAGAATTACAAGAATATAGAATTCTTTTAACCAAAAGGGGCCTTAGAGATTATTTAGTAAAACCTCAAAATTTTATAAAGGGCTGAGGCAATAAAGATGTAAAGTGAATTGATCAAGATCCGAGAGTTATTAATGGATAGTCTACAAATAGATCTATTAATGGAATAACTTGATATTGGATCTGTTGACTTTTATCTCATTGGGCTTCATATTCCGTCTCAGCATATAATGTATCACATCGGGCACTAGTCAATTCAATTTCAAGTAAACGAAATCATGGGGAGGGGCCGGCCCGGTGGCACAGCAGTTAAGTGTGCACGTTCCGCTTCTTGGCAGCCCAGGGTTCACTGGTTCAGATCTCAGGTGCGGACATGGCACCGCTTGGCAAGCCATGCTGTGGTAGGTGTCCCACATATAAAGTAGAGGAAGATGGGCATGGATGTTAGCTCAGGGCCAGTCTTCCTCAGCAAGAAAAGAGGAGGATTGGCAGCAGTTAGCTCAGGGCTAATCTTCCTCAAAAGAAAAAAAGTCATGGGGAATAGAGGACTCTAAATGTAAAATAACGTACCATCTTACCCTTCCTCTCACCTTAATTCTTATGATTTTATGAGGAAATTCTTAAAATTTGTACACTCTGTAAACCACATACTAAACAAGAACAGTGATTATATCTTTTGGTGACCACTATTTATATAGCTACTAACCATGCTAAATGTTCCCTTAAGAAACAATTTTAAATAAATGAATGAATATAGGTGTATGTTGAATTTGAATAAAGTAAAAAAGTAAATGTCGTTAGAGACCAACATTACTTAAAGAAAATGGCTGGAAGAAACTATTTTATTTCTGCAAAATAAGGAAACTAGATACCAGAGAGAGGTTAATACCACTTGGGACTCTCAAAAAAATGATCTTCTGCTCTTCCTAAGAAGCAGACGGCCCAGACTTCCCCATAGTGGTGAAGTTGTGGGTTAAGTGGAAATGCAGCTTCCTTACCCAGATACCATCTCCACAAAAGGGAGCCTTGAAATTCTTCTATTTAGCAACCAAAGAACTATTTGGAGGGAGGCCTGCATTAATGTCATCTCTGAGTAAGTGAATGTTCTGTATTACCCTACTAGACACATGGCAGCCCAGTTAAATAATAGTAGGTACAATTTGTCAAGAGTTTACTATCGGATATAGTGCTAAGAATTTGACATACATTTATCTCGAGAGAGATTCAATAACTTGCCAAGGTCACCCAAGTGGGATTAAGTGACAGCTGGGATCAGACCTAGATAAATTTGACTTCAAAACCTACGTTCTTTCAACTATTAATCTCCCACCGTCTACTTGTTAAAATTTTGTATAACATTCATTAAAAATACTCAACCTAGCATTGGGCAAAATACTCATCAATGTAGGGAAGATTTAGCTTCTGCCTTCTAGATATAATTTAAAACAGACAAAGCCATATAGAAGCTACACACAAAATGATTTGGCTGTGGGTTTTAACTATGAGTAAACAAATGAGTGGAGTATTTTGTAGGGATGAGAGAGAGAATTCTATGCTTAGGTGAGGCTGGAAATTTTATTAAAGGTAAACTTTCAGGAGCTGTTTCCTGAGGGAGAGAAGGCTTCCATTCTGGTGTAAGATAAACAGGCTCCAGTGCTGAGGACTGGAAAGAATTGAGTGAGTCAAGGAGAGGCAGTGAAAGGAAAAACTACTCTCAGAGGGCTTGGTGAGGAAAGCATGTTATCATTCATACACATTCAAGGGCCAGCTTTGTGCCAGACTTTTTTTTTTCCTAGGTGCTAATGAATTGTAGGAAATAAGGTAGAAATCTGTGCCTCCATGAAACTAACATCTATTAAGTGACACAGATAATGAACAAATAAACGTATAATTATATGATATAATGCCAGGAAGTGGTAGGTGATATGAAGAAAATTAAAGCAGGATAAGAAGACTGAAAATGACGGGAGCAAGAGGACTTAATTTTAGAAAGAATAGCCAGAGAAGGCCTAAGAAGTGATGTATTGAGCAGATGGCTGAAGGAAGTGAGAGAGTGAGCTATGTGATGATCTGGGGAGTGTTCTAGGAGAGGAAATAGCTACTGCAAAGGCCCTGAGGTTGTAGTGAGTTTGATACATTTAAGCAGCAGCAAAAGGCCAGCATGGCTGGGATGGAGTGAGTGCTGGGCAGTGGTAGGAGATGAGGTCAGAGAGATAGGCAAGGATCTGGTCCACAGCCTTGCAGTTCATGTTTAAGAAATGAGATTTTATTCTGAGTGGATGGGAAACCATCACAGGGTTATAAGCAGAAAAATAATATGACTTGTGTTCTGAAAGATCATTCTGGCTTGTAGGTAGAGAACTGTCTACAGAGGGCAAGAGGGAAAACAGTGAGACCAGTGAGAGGGGCTTTTTCAATAACAGATTACCAATGAGAGATCCTGAAATCAATTTACTTTATTGTGACCTATTTTTAAAAATAAATATAAAATATAGAATGCATATAGTAAGAGTAAGTAATGTTTCATAAAATTTTTGTTTCAGCTGTATGTGTACTTGGTTGAAATATAAAGTATTTACTGGGTCACTGTCAAAAAAAAAGCCACTGAGTTAGGAGCTATTTGCAATAGTCCAAGTGAAAGGTGTAGCATGAGCCAGGGTGATAGTTGTGAAGGTGATAAGAGATGATCAGATTCAAACTATATTTTGAGGATGGGTCAGATCTGATATACTAGTGAATTAGATGTGGGATTGTAAGAAAGAGAAGAGTCATCCTTGACTTAGAGGTATTTTGTCAGAAAACAAGGTAAACGGGGTGCTATTTAGATAGCAAACTCTGGGTGGGACTCAGACTTGGCAGGAGTAGAAATCAAGATTTAGCATTAGGACATGTTAGCAAGGAGAGTTGCTGAATTTCAAAACAGACCCCCAAAGCTAACACTATGCTTCTGAACATGATAATGAAAATCTCTATGGAAGAAAGATCTTCAAAGTTTCGACATCTGATGAATATCTTTAATAGATGGTACTATCTAATTTTTTAAAAAGTTATTTGTAAGATTATTATGATTCATAAAGTACATAAAAGTTGTTGTCTTATAGGTGCAAATACCTCCAAGTGATTAATAGTTTTAGTATTATTAAATATGGATTTCTGTTGGTCATAACAGCTCTTTTACTTTCCCTTGGAGGATAATGGACACTTGAGACTTTAGGCTATTACTGGAAAGGAGAAAAGTAGATAAAACTGATGTCTTAAAAAAAAAAAACAGAGGAGGTGAAGTCAGCAAGAAGATAGAATAGGAGGCCCTGGACCCTCCTTCCCCCAATGGATACCATGATTAAATAGTAATACATGGACAAATTCCTTTTGTGAGAAATCCATAAATTAGTTGAGAGGCTCCTGCACTCTGGATCACCATGAAACCAGCCAAGTCAATACTGATAGGAAAATTCTAGATACATTTTGCCATAGTTCCTGCTCCTGGCACAGGACCATATGATTGAAAGGAATCTCCCAGCTTCCAGTTTCTCCCTAAGGAGAGAAAGAGTTGGACGGTGTGTCTAACATCCCAGCTTTTCTGAGGAGTGCCCAAGATATTGGCTTCTGGCTCATCTGTCTCAGAGTGCAGACAGAATTAGGCAAACTGTAGACACCTGGGGGATACTGAGAACAAAGACAGTGGTTGGAATAAGCACACAAGCACTCATCATAGACCCTTCCCTAGCTCAACACAAAGTAAGCAGATGAAAAGTCCCACGGCCAAGCTTCTCCTTGGGGAAAGAAAGAGTTGGATCATGCACCCAACATACTAGCTTTTCTGGGGATGGCCTAAAATACTGGCTTCTGTCACACCCATCTTAGAGCAATGATGGGACCATCATAACCTAGATGTGTAGGACTCACTAAGAACAAAAATGGTGGTTTAAACTAGCATGAATATTTGAGACACCCCCAGAATCTCTATCTGGACTGATTGATAAGGATTTTGTCCTGTGCAAGTCCAGTCTGTGAAGACTGGGAGAGGTGGCTGTTTTTTCTAATATGCATATACCAACAAAAATAGTCAAGGAAAATGAAGAAACAGAGAAATGTTTCCCAAACAAAGGAACAAAATAAATCTCCAAAAGCTGAGACTGATGAAACAGAGATAATGATTTACCTCACAGAGAATTCAAAATAACTGTCATAAAGATGCTCAACAAGATCAGGAGAACAATGCATGAACAAAGTGAGAATATCAACAAAGAGATAAAAACTATAAAAAAGTACCAAGCAGAAATATTGGAGCAGAAGAATATAATAACTGGACCAAAAAATTCACTAGAGGGGTTCAGTATCAGGCTAGATTAAGCAGAAGAAAAGATCAGCGAACTTGAATGTCAGAGGAGTAAAAAGCAAAGAGAATGAAGAAGACTTAAGGGACGTATGGAACACCATTAAGGAGACCAAGATATGTATTATGGGACTCCCAAAAAGAAAAGAGAGAAAGAAAGAAGCAGAAAAGTGATTCAAAGAAATAATGACTAAAACCCTCCAAAATCTGGGGAAAGACATCCAGATCCAGGAAGTCCAATGGATCTCAAATGAGATGAACCCAAAGAAATCCACTTTGAGTCACATTATAATCAAATTGTCAAAAGTCAAAGACAAGGAGAGAATTTTGAAAGCAACAAGAGAATATTTTTGTCATGTACAAGAGAATCCCCTTGAGATTCATCACTGAATTTCTCAGCAGAAACCTTGCAAGCCAGA